TATTTTCTCATTTCTATATAAAAGGATGCAATCCCCTTTAGATCTTTATATATAATCACAGATGTTCTAAAGTCTTGTCTGGTCTCCTAGCTGTCTCCCATGGAATTAAAGTTTATGCATAGTGGGTACAGGGTCCCTCTTTCCTGGCACTTTTGCAACATTTGGTGAGTCGTGGTTGTTTATTTTAGATTCCCTACTTGCCTTTATGTGAAGGATATATCTCTACTACAGTTTGCTTTCATAAAATGTCAGAGCAGAATATATAGTAGCTTAAGTTCTTGAGTGAGACTCTATTCCTCCTGAGAATCATTAATTCAGTCTCTTATGTGCCTAACATACATGGATAGCCCTCATCTCTACTGAACAATCCTACTGAGGTCACTATTTTTTGTTTTATATGCATTAGTAAAGGAAATTAAATTTAACAAAATGTCTTATTAATTTATAGTTGAAGTTTAAAAAATTTCTCCCTTACTCATAAAGGGAAGTGTTCTCTTCTTAGAGAGTGGTAAAGATCAAATAATTACTATATCTTAGCACTTGGTACAGTGCCTTTGTATTTTAGCTGCTTAATAAGTATTAATTCCTTTCCCTTACTTCCTTTGAAAGACTTAATATCTCTCAATATTGATTTTGGAGGAGTTTCATTTGCACAGCAAACACTTTCGAAGTCATCTAAAACAGCAACTTGAAAGCTACTGCCTTTTGTTTGATGATTTACTTAATCAGGATTATGCTGATTCTGTTCCCATTACTAACAGTAGGAGCCAGAGCCATGCCTAGAGTGAAGTGAGGAGCCTTGTGTTACTCTGAGTGTGTCCTTAAATTTTACTCCCTAGGTGCCTCCCTCACCTTAAATTAGTCCAGCCCTTGTGGAAGGCAGAAATGGAAAAGAACCACGTGGTAAGAAGAGTTATATTTATATACTGTATATTATAGTAAAACATTTGTTTTTGACTGCCTAGTACCTAGTTCCTCTCTTGATTTCACGGTGCTATGCTTTTCCTTTGGAGAACAAGCCCTTTCTCAACTCTCAATTCATGTGGTTTATATGAAACTTCACTCCTTACCTCAGACGTGACATATTTGACCCAAACTTGGCCAGTTAGTGCCTAATCCCTGCAGCAAAAGTAAAAGGAAATAAGTACCTTATTGTTCAAAGTAACTGAAAAATTCAATGATAGACTAGCTGTTAGTGCTTTTGCTATAGGCTCAAATTATCAGTACTTCTCCATCTCCATGACTCTTTAACTCATGGATCATAATGAGCTATCATCAGGATAACTGTCAGGATAACAATCAGCAGCTCCAAATATAGCTCTACCAGGAAAAAGAAAAAAAGTTTCTGTACAAGTCCTAGAAATCCTCCTAGTTGAACTCACTTGAGCCATACGCTCAATTTACGAAGTAGGCATGAGGTTGGATGGTTCTAAGTCATCCATAAAGAGGTTAATTCCTAGACACCGAGATACCGAAACTTGTCAAATAGTCTCATACTCCAAGTTTGGCAAGGAAGCAACAGAAGTGCTAGGCATCTCAGTGATGTTCAAGGTGACAAGATGACTGACGTTTTGTCTAAGACGTCAGAATTTTTACATCACCTTGGGGACTGAGGTGAGTTGAAACTACCACAACTACCACCATAAGAGCTAATGCTAATTGAGAACTTGATTTTACATATATATATATACACACATACCCACACATACACACCAGATTTGTTTTAAGTATTTTATATTCATCAAATCATCTTTAGAGCAACCCTAAGGTAAGTATTATTATTATCCCGATGGAAACTGATAGAGAAGGTAAAAACTTGCCCAAGGCCATAAGCAATTAAGCCATGGACACAAGATCTGAATTTAGAACCTATACCTGTAAAACCACTATAATATATCATTTCTCAGTAAACTATTTAGGCTGAATTTCCTGTCACTGTGTTGGCATGGTGACTCAGAGTTTTATTTAAGTTGATTTTTTAAAATATTGTTTTTCTGCATACCTAATAGATTTATATGCTCTAAGGAATAATTTTAATTAGCTCTTGGCTCACTACTCCTGTCATAATTCTTGATAATTTCAAAACCCACTTAGATGATCCTTTCAATACCCAAGTTTCTCAATTTCTTGAATTCATCTTTTGCTGTGACCCCTCTCTTTCACTCAACTATCATGTTTATATCCTAGAACTTAGTCACTTACTACTGTACTCTCTCTAATACTGTCAATTTCAGTCATCTTACCTGTTTATTTCAACCTCACAATTTTCTAGTTCCTACCTCTAGTAAATAACTGCGACACACCTTCAACCATTCTGCAATCTACAATTGATCATACCATTTCTCCACTGTCTCAACCTCCTTCATTTTCTCACTTTGCTTTTTACCCAGATTGCTTTCCACATCCCTCCTTTATAAGCATTCCCTTGAATATATCAACAACACTTTTTCCCTTCTCCCTCTTTGTTGTATTCACCTAGGAAAATTCCAACTTTGGTTAAATCTGACTCTGTGTCTACTCAGTGACAGAACCAAGGCTAAACATTACTGGAGAAAAACACAAAACCATGTTGACTGATCTCACTTAAATTAACAACCATAGACCTCAAGTGGGCCCTTTAAGTACTGTCTAGCAATCCTAAGAGTCTATTCACTCTCTGACTTTCTTAAATGTCTATTTTATACCTTTTTTTCCCCTCAATTCAATACTTTTTTCCTCAATGCTTTTTCCCTCTTCTTCATGACCTTGCTTCCTATTTCACTAAGAAAATACAACAAAACTTTTAACATGCCCCTACTATATATAGCAAACTACAACTATCTAGACCTACATAATCTGTCCCTCCTCCTATTGCTATTAACGAGCTATATGCACGCACGTCTTTAAAACTAATCCTTTTATTTGTATCTATGGCTCCAGCAATAAACCTCTCCTTCCTGCATCATGCGCTTTTTTTTCTCTACTGGATTAGTCCTATTAGCATACAAACCTGCTATATCCTCAATCTTTATAAAACCAAACAAAATAAAAACAAAAACCTTCTTGATACTATATCCCCTTGCATTAACAGCTCATTTCTCTATTCCCCTTGAGACTAAGACTCCTTAACAGACTTGTCTTCAATTCTCACTACATTAAACTCCTGTCTACCATTCTCTTCAATATCTCCTCTCACTCCTTCCATTATCAGATCAGTTTGTCAAGGTCACGAATGACACTAAATCCAGTGTTCAGTCCTCAGAACTTATCTTTCTTGTATCATCAACATGATACTTGACATGTATAAATATTAGCATGTTCTAGAGTTCACCTCTCCATATTTCTAATTCTTATCTTTAAAATTCTCATTTTCCTTATTTCACAATACTATGAGTAAAAGACAAGAAGCTGTGATTCACAACAGCATTCCAACAAAGACCTGAGTCTTTGGGCAGTGACTCTAAGGTGAAGCTGTTATTATATACTCATAGGAGAATATCCAATAAGAACAAGTTAAATAAAATATATCTAAGATTTCCTGCTTACATATAGCTGACACTGAAACTAGTTTCACTAAGGGAACAGAATAATTTTATATGGAAAACATTTATAACTTTGAGTGATATTCTGATAGATTTAAGGGCACAAAAATGGAAGATTAAATTAGGGCAATGAAATAAACTCCCTAAATTGGGAAAAATCCTCCACTATTAAATAACAAAACAAAATAAACAAACAAAAAAAACAAAACTCACAGCCAAACAAAACCACTCCTAAAATAATTACAAGCAATAAGATTACTATAAAAAAAAGTGTGTAAGTGCGTGCATTGGTATCCAGATAAGAATGAAAAAAGGGCAGTATTCGTAATCATAAAAGAAAATTTATATTTAGTATTATAAAATTATCTTAATAAAAAATTTATGCAATTATCAAATTATACTTTCCTAGATGTATAAAACAACATAAAGAAAAATTAAGAACATTATTTTATTGGAAAGAAAATAATTTATTATATATGAGATGATTAAAATACATGTAATATATCTCCAGTAAACTGATTTAAATGCATATAGATTTAATTTTTAAATACACTTTAAAAGCTGTTACGCACAGTTCCAGAGTCCAGGTGCTCATTTTTTTCTCCTCAAAGTTGGAAAGCACTTGAAAGACATGAAATTCAAAAGGGACCTAAAATACCATAAAAGTTCATTAAAAATAAGCATTATTATAAAACAGTTCATTAATTTTAAGCAACTGAAAGCTAAAACATTTATATTTAGAAAATTAGTGAATCATGTCAGTACAAGAAAATTTTGTCTAAGTAAACAGCTTATACAGAAACTGTATTTTATAATATTAAAAAATAAAACATTTTAACCATGCCTATAGAAAAAAACAACAGCAACTTCAATATCTATAACTTCTTGTACTCTTAAGGTGATAACATTAACAGAATTTTGAATTGTTTTCATAGAACTATTAATAGTAGGATTTGCAGGAAAGAAATGTAGAGACTCCAACACCTTATTTTCCTACTTATAAATGGGTGGGTGGCCAAATTGGTCAGTCCTTAGAACTACTAAGGGAATGGGTTCAAATTAGATTCTTGCTACCACTCCCAGAGATTCTGATACATTAGTTCTAGGATAGAATCCAGGAATGTATGTGTAAAAATCCTTCCTCAATGGTCCTCAACCGTGGTTGCACGTGAAAATCAAAACTTTAAGAGGTTTCAAAAATCCTAACATCTATATTACACTCCAGACCAAATAAATCAAAACTCTGGGGGAGGAACCCAGGCATCAGTATATTTCTTAGTTTCCTTTCTTTTTAAATCAATATATTTTAAAAGTTCCACAGGTCTTTCCAATGTGCAGCCAAGATTGGGAACCACTGTTCTGGGTGTTTCTGGGCATAAACCAGTCTGGAAACCACCGTTCTTCCATACCTACCAGGATTGTTTCTTTTCACTTAATGTGCTACCCTGAGTCAACATTATATCTTCTCCCCTATGTTACTCTTTTCTTATTCCCTTTGTTTAGAAAAAGAAAGATGAAAAAAGATATTTCTACTTGCTATCTACCTCAAAGTGGATTTCAATAATAAGACCTCAGATGTAAGGTCTGCTTACTCTTAACATGAAATTTACACAGAAAACCAGTTATTTAAATTTTAAATATATGTACTTTTTAAAAGAAAGAATCTTTCCCCAATCAAATTTTACAACATGTTATATAACATAACCTAATCAGATAAATCATAAAAGAGAAATCATATGTTACTGAATTAGGTTTAGAAAATACATAAATAGAAAAAATAAGATTAAATTCTGTGTTAAAGCAAATGCATATATTTTCCAATTTAGTAAGTTGACCTGATTCACTAACTTTCCCTGGAAAATGTACATAACCTCAACGACAGCATAGAAAATTCAGCAACTAATCTTAAAAAACACATATTTGTTCAATCAACACAGATAATTTTAAAAATATTTCATTTGAAAAAATTGTAAAAAATTATTGCTTAATCTGGATCAATGGGTGGGGGAGGGACAAAACATTTCTAGGAAAAACAAAAAACATTGCCCCAAAAAGGATACGACAAGAAAGGATACACTTTGTATGACAGTATTACAGCAGTATTTACGCAGGAATGCTTCTAAAGAAGAACAGCAGAATGTAGTTTAATTTTTTTCTTATTTTTCACATTAGATTTGCAAATAAATGATTTTTTTTTAAACACACACTGAAAATTGGTTATTTTTAACTATTCTTCTAAGGTACATGTAAGACTTCTGACTACACCAGTATAGATACTTTACAGCAAAATTCAAATATTCAAGGCATCTCCCAAAAGGAATAAATACTAAGCAAACTTTTATTATTTAGTTATATGACTTTTTCAGCTTAACACCAGAAGTTTTGATCCAGTTACTTCATAATCTTCCAGTTTACAAAGGTCGAAAGATTTAAAATAAAAAACAATAGAAATATATATTTTCAGTCATCTTTCTTAAGTCAAGCAATGTTGACAAACTTTAAAGTTTAAAATGCTTAATTCTACCATTTTTAATCATTAAATTACTTAAGTATGCATTAAAATTACTTATTAGAAAGACAAAATATTTCATTCCACAAAAAATATGTATATATTTCTGTGAAGTGTACAATTAGTAATCAGCAATGCAAATTCTCAGGTGCCACCAAGGGTAATCAACTTGCCTTGGCTTGACAGGCATTGTCTCGGTTCTAGCATTAAAAGTCCAGTGTCCCAGAAAAGCCCTCAGTCACAGGAAAACTGGGAGGGTTGGTTATCCAAGGACTCCACTCCAGAGCTACTGAATCAGAAACTCTGGGTGGGAGTGGGGAGAAGCCTAGCAATCTGTTTTTTCAAGCCCTCCAGGTGATTATAATACACATTAAAGTTTAAGAATCACTGCTTTACTCTAGGCAGAAAAAGTAAATAAAGACTAAAAAAGACACATTCTCTCTATAAAAGTCATTCTCCAAACTTAATTTTTACAAAGAAATGGGCTTTATCCTGTAGTTATAATTTTGAAGTTAGGAATTAACTGCCTAGTTAGATAGATACAAAGGGAGGGAGGGATGGATGGACAGATTGATCCTTTAAAAATCTTAGGAGATACCTGAATTATTATTCTATCAGACTTTTATCTTTCCGTAACTTTATCTCAAGAAAATCTTGTCCATTTATTATTATATCCACACTTACCTTTATTAATTTTTAACACTTTCTTTTTCCTTCTTTAGAATCTTGTTTTGGTCTAGCAGATCGAGCAAATTGCTAATATTTAAAAATTAAGGTTTCCTTCACAAACATGAAAGTAGTCTTTTCTAAATAACTATCAAGAACTTCCTAATGTAGGGTAGGAGTACAGTTTTTTAATTTATCTTTTATACTTGTCTTCCTACTCTCAGTCACTTGTCAAATATTTTGTTGAGTGCCTCCTACCTGCTGTCCATGATTTGAGGGAGAAGTAAAAATTTACTTTTTCCTTAGTCAGTTTTTATACCTGACCTTCACTCCTTCATCTATCCCACTGATTTCTAGTTTGCAAACTGCATTAACTACTAAAAGCAGGATGGTTAATCAATGACATATTCTGGTTATTAAAATTCTCAAACAGAAACATGAATTACAATACAATAAAATATAAAATAATAAAACTATAATGAATTGTATCTTTAATGACTCCAAATGTATTTCTGGATACTGTAATCTCTTAGGCTTAGCAGGAATATGTATTTTTGAGCTGTATAAGTGAAATGATTTTTTATAAACTGAATTTTAATAACCTCATGATGCTGAGCTTCCTTTATCTTCCAATAAAAATCTAAATAACACTGTAATCTGACTCAGCTAAGTATGTTTGTAACTGACTGTCTCATGCTAGAATGCCAGTTGTTGAGATTTCTAAAGGAAAATATAAAAATTAGTTTCAATTATACTCTTCTCCTCAAAACTACACAGTCTTGGAGCAGATTGACTTAAAGGATACAACCACCATAGGTTTCCCAAAAAGAACATATCCGTTAGCTTCCTTTAAGGCTTTTGCTGCTGCTTTTTCATTTGGAAGTCCAATGAAAGCTTGTCCTTTCATGCGACCTTCTTTCATCAGGCGTATATCAAACCTAGAAGTCAAAGAAGAAAGAGTGATTTTGATTCAAATGACATCAAACAATTCTGATGAAATGAATGGGAATGTGTTGAACAATTTAAAATTATGCTATTTTAGAGTAAAAATGACTATACTATCCGATTAACACATTAATTACTCAGACTTTCGAAAATTCTATTTTGTATTCTGTTCTAAAATTGATTCTATAAGTAGGCAATGTAAGTTTGATGATGTGCTTATATCTTTTTTCAGTTATTATAAATGCATGTGATCTAAAAATTATATTACTAGCAACTATAAAAGCAAACCTCAAGTTTTTATTTCATATCTCTATTTAAAAAAATTTTCATGCAGTCAATTCAATACTGTCTACTCAAGTGACAAAAAAACAACTATATAACCAAGAATAGAAGGGCTGACAGTAACCACAGATCACCTAGTCAAAACCACCATTTTTACAGTGATCACCTACTGATCATCTAGTCAAAACCATCATTTTATAGGTGATGCCTACAGAGACTGAGTGACTTCTTCAAGGTCACGCAGATAGCTGAAGTTAGTGTTCTATTACTAGAGAACACTATTAGTGTATAGTGTTCTATTACTCCCTAGTGTACTAATTTTTCAACATTTTCAAGAGAAAACTATATTCAAAACTGATTAAAAAAATCAGACTGTAATTTACAACAAAGTATTGCCTACCATTTAGTCTACAGAACTATCAAAGTATATAAAATATTTAAAAAGTATCAAAAAACAGTGAAATTTTCTTTTTTTAAATACACATGACTAGTCTCATGGGAAACAATTATAACTTATTATTTTGATGTGTACAGCTTGCTCAATATAGAATTATTTTTCCCCCTCAAATTCTAATTGCAGGCAATACTGGAAACAGAGGGAAAGGATGTATATATACATACATATGTAGGTATTCACATAAATGAAGTAAATATATTTTTCTTATAATTATAATTCAAAGGGAGTAAGATGAAAAAGGACCAGTATTCTGCATGGCATGAAAAAGAAGCTTTTAGTATCCTCATAGAGATATATCTGCCACTAATGAGTATAAATGGAGAATTTTAAGACATGGTGCTTCTTGTGCATACCAATCTAAAGATACTTAAGACACATAAGCCTTTAAAAGTATTGGTTTCCATATGAAGATTAAAACACAATTAATTAGAGTTACTTCTCTATCTTATCCCTGCTCAAGAGTCTCTCTCCTTACCTTTTCTATTTCTCCCTGCTTCTAAGTGATATGGCCAAGGGTCTTACATACTTGGAATTAACTAATTATGGAATTTTAAAGAATGAAATTCTAACTCCAAACATTAGCTTTTATATAAGTTAGAAATCATATCCTTCTCTTTTGCTGTCACAAAATGGGGAGCCTTGCTTAATGCAGCCCAATTAAAAGAAGAGAAGTTGTGGCCAGGTTAAGAATCTAAAAAGTTTACCTGACTGCTCTACTTTCCTGAACGAGTTACTAAAATAGTAGTTTTCAAAGTGTAACCTTTAGGCCAGCAACTTGGGCATCATCCATGAACTTTTCAGAAACACAAATTCATGGGCTATAACTCAACCTAGAAAACCAGACTGTCTGGGGATGGCCACAAGAAACTGTTTTACCAAGCTCTCCAGGTGATTCTCATGCAGGTTAAAGTTTGAGAACCATTGCTTTATAAAGAGCCGGGCATTGAGGCTGGAATGTATGATGAGGCTTGTTTCTATAAACAAAGTTTTAATGGAGCTCAGCCATGAATATTCGTTTATTTATTGTTTATGGCTGCTTTCAAGCTACAAAGACAAAATTGAGTAGTTGCAACAGACATCATACGGCCGGCAGTAAAATAAAAATATTAAATTTTTATTATCGGCCCATTTACAAAGAAGTTTGCAGGCTCCTGCTTTAGATGACTAAAAGATTAATTATGCAACAGATAAGAGCAATTTCTTCGCATAATTTTTATCTCTAAAACGAAAATGTGGGGAAAAAGGGGTGAATTTATAACAGATAAAAACAAAACATAATTTGAGAGTACACTTACATTATCCGTTGTGTTTCTGATGAAAAGTCAACATATCTCCCAAAAATAAATTTAAGGTCCTAGAATTTCAACAAGAAAAAGACAAATAAGGAAGTCCAGGAATAAAAAAAGTAAAATAATAAAATCAATTTACAAATTTCAACTTACCTTTTCTTGAACATGTTTAGCTAAATTCTTTACATAAATTCTACAGTTTGGTTCACCAGGCTCATAACTTCTAAAAACTGGAAGTGTTTCCATTTCTTATTTAAAAAACAAAATGAACAAGGATATAAAATTAAGATATTTTCATCAATTTTTCAAAGAAAAACTATAACAACATTCAAATGTAAATGTTACACAAAATAAGCTTTATGAAAATGTTAAAATCGTAGAAATTATTAGCAATGTTACTAATGGTATGAAAACACCCATAAAAAATCTGAAGTGATAATATAAAAATGTTAAAAATGTTCAGACATCTAGAAAAACTAAAATTTATCCAATAAAATATTTACTATTAAAGTTCCTTTAAGAGGATTTACTTTATGAAAAAGACTGAAGCAAATTAAGATGTTATCAATCATTTGTGTAACTGTTTTGCTTAAGGTCAATTTCCCAAACAACCCAGCACCAATACATTCAAATGTAAGAATGAAGTACTCAAACATAATAATCAAGTATTTCAAACTGTTGCTTCTGAATACCTATACAGTACTCCTTTTTAGAGTCAATAATCTGTTCCTGACAACTAGATGTTCTCTGCAAAAATGCTAGTTGGAAGTTTATTTCCCAGTATTATGGGAAGAATTATAATGTGTTACCCATCAATCTAATACCCTTAAATATTTTCCTAAAATGTACTAAACAGGAAAAATCCATTAGAAGTAAAAAACTATCATGTTAGAATACAAAATCCTTAAACCAGACTTCTAGTCACCAAATAGTTTTTTTCTTTTTTTAAAACAATTCACTTGCATGCATCTCAGACATAGTACTGTGAAGGTCTATCAACCGGTTTTTAGAATACAGAACTCCAGACTGTGGGCCCCACTGATTTAAGAGGTCATATACAAGTTTTAGAAATGAAAATAAAAAATTTTCCAAACAAATACAGACTGGAAACGTATTGTGAGAAATACTTCCCTGTCTATTAAGTATGGTTATTAAAAATCAAAAGTGGTGACCAGAAACTAACTGGAGAGATGTTTTGAAGTATGTGCCTTAATTAAGGTAAATAACATGAAGAAATTGGTGCTTTGTTTCTGAAGGGTTAAAGAAACATAAAATGGAATAAGTATTGATTTATTTCAGGAAATTACCTTCTCTAGAAATTCTGCCCTTTTCCAACTCCCTTCTAGAAATACATTCTGATGGCATTTCATCCGAGTCGTCTTTAATCTCCTCTGCAATGTCCAAATTAGGTTTTGGGAAGATTTTTCCAAATCCTATATTGGATGCATCAACTTCAGTAGCGGATAAATCTAAGAGTTAACATTTAAACATCAGCCATTAAAACTCCCTCCTTTCAAAACAGTTTTTGTTTTCCATTTTTAATTTCTAAGATATCTTTTGGCACTAAAACTCTTTGGTGTTTTTCTCAACACTTTAGAAAAGGGGTAGGCAAACTTTTCCTGTAAAAAGATTCAAATAGTAAATATTTTAGGCTTTGCAAGCCATATGGTTTCTGTCATGACTATTCAACTCTGTCACTGTAACAGTAAAACAGCCATAGACAACAGCTAAACAGCCAAATGGTTGCTTTGTGGTGCCATTTAGAGGGGCTGCAAAGTGGAAAGAAAATGAATTTATTTTCAACATGCTTAGTTTGAGGTGCCAGAGGGGCACCCAGTGAAAATGTTTAGTGGGTAGACAGGTAGATGTGTTTTGGGGGACAAAAAGCAATATTTTGTTTAATCAACACACTGAACTATTAACAATTATGTGAAAAGAAATTTGCAATTCATTAAATACATTACATAATTATTAAAGGCATTCTGCTAATAAGATGTGGTCATTGAAGATTATTTATACAACGGGTATAAAGACTTCATAGTGCTACATCAGAATATTGTGAAACAACCTTCAACCTTCTCAAAGACGATTAAAAGATTAAGATCAATACATTATGCTGGAATAAACTTCATAAAATAAGACACTTCCATTTGAGGTTACTAAAAAATCCATTAAACATCCCCCCATCAAAAAAAAAAAAAAGGCTAATCCTAATCTTGGCCCTACAGGAAGTAAGGAAAAACAAGTATTTGCACGCTTAAGAAATTACTCAATTAGGAAAACTAAAAAACATTGTGAACTTTTTATTTTAGATAGAAACACAATGGATTTCATTCAGAAAACATGAATTTTAGCTTCAGCAAAAATTAAACTGCCATAGGGGAGAGGGCTCAGAAGGATAAGGTTAAACATTCACTAGAAACAATTTCATTATACTCCCTAAAAAAAACCCCACAAAAAACCCTCCAAAAAACTGTGAAAATGATGCAAAGAACATGCTACATTTAGGATTAGAAAAGTCTCTTCATTGTGTCGAAAAACCGTTGTATAAACAGACCTCCTGTGGCCTGAAGGCATCAATAAGAGAAAAACTTAAAACTGCTTCTCCTCTTTCCAGTATTACTACTTGACACTGATATAGAATGAGATGACTCTTCCCCCTCCCATACAGGTCTAAGCCCTTGGGTAAACTAAGCTTAAAAAAATAAAATTTGTGCCAAAGGGTGACTTGCCATGAGATAAGAAAGAAACACATACAAAAAGAAAAATATAAATATTGAATCACACAAAAAAGGAGCTGTCTGGAAAGGCAACGCATTCTCCCTAACCATCAGAGAGACAGGAATTAAAACCAGCTGGTTTTTGGCTCATTACATTTGCAATATTTACTAGAATTCTATAGTCACACAAGTGCTCAAAGATATATGTACAAAAATGTATTTTCTAGTATTTCCTGTAACAGTTAAAAAATGGTAACAACCTCACTTTTATCAACAGAGCATGATCAAATAAATATTGATATTACTATACTATGAGTATTATGCAGCCATACAAAAGTAAGGTACATATTTTTATGTTGACATAGTAAGCTACTCCTACTAGACTTTCAACTCCAAAACATCAGATATATGTCTTACTTGTCCTCTAGGGCCTAGCATAAAGCCTGCTATGCTCTATGCTTTCCATAAGTCCTTACTGAGTCAATGACAAATACTATATAAAACATGATACCCACTTAAAAAAGAAGAGAGAGGGGCTGGCCCAGTGGTGCAAGCGCTTAAGTGTGCGCACTCCACTGCGGCGGCCCAGGGTTCGCCATTTCGAATCCCGGGCGCGCACCGATGCACCACTTGTCAAGCCATGCTGTGGTGGCGTCCCATATAAAGTGGAAGAAGACGGGCATGGATGTTAGCCCAGGGCCAGCCTTCCTCAGCAAAAAGAAAGGAGGACTGGCAGATGTTAGCTCAGGGCCGATCTTCCTTACCAAAAAAAAAAAAAGAAGAAGAGAGAGAAAAAAATGTGTTTACACATGTATATAATAAGATCTGACAGGATACTATACATTAACAATGGTTATTGCTAAGTAGTGGGATGGGGACAGAAGGGTTTGAAGCACTAACTTTCTAAAATTTTACTTTATATGCTTCTGTTTTGATTACATTTTCTATAAGCTTGTATTATTTCCAAAATTAAAAAAAAATTCAAAGAACAAAGGAATGCCATTATATCATAATACCAAATTAATGCCTAAAATAAGCAGAGAAAAACCTGTCATTTCAATACATTATCTTTAAATTTAAGAATAGTATCTTGGTAAACAATCTTCCATGTCTTTTGGATAAAAAATAAATTCACAAAACATCTACAACTCACAAGACAGTCACATTGCTTATTTTGTAACCAGTAATACAATTATACTAATAAAACCATAGACTATCCATTTAACAAGCAATGAAAAAATAAGTCAACACAAGAAACTCCTATTTTTAGTGTAAACATCAGCAAAAACCAGACTGAATTTCACCCTAGAGTTCATTACTAGCAAAAGGCAACAGTGACAATCTCACAATCAAGCACCAATTTTACTGATATAAAAAAAGTCCAAAATGGATAGTATTCCATATCGAGGAAGACCTAATTGCATATTTTAAATATACTTCACAAATACTAAACTACAGAAACATTATATATAAAATTCTAACATAAAAAGCTGATTGAGAAGAATTTTTACATAGCATATTAAAGAACTAGAACATACTTACCACAATTTTGTTCTTCGCAATTTTGTTCCTTTTCTAAGTCTTTCTTAAATGCAGCTGCCATGTCGGTAGATATATGGAATTCAATTTTTTTACTACCTACAGGCTGTGGTTGGTCAAATACATCCGAAGGTAACAGCACTGGATGTAAACTGCTGTTTATAAATAATCACAGCATTACTTTGTAAATGCAAATAAAATCCTGATTAAAACATTATTTCATATTTACTTTAAATTTAAAAAGCTAACACTGATGAAGTACTGACAACACTATAGGCATTGTACTAAGTAACTTACACTTAATACTTCCATAAACCCTAGCAAATGTTCTAATACTATTAAATTCCTACTTTGGATAGATAAGGAGATTGGGGTGAAGGGATGTTAAGTATTGCATGAAGTTACTCAGTAAATGACAGAGACAGGACTTAAGAACTATTAAATCTAAACTTCAGGATATTTACCAATATCAAAAAAGGTCACTCTACATTTAATATAAACATTTTTATGCACTATGTACTGTATACTATATAATAAAGCTATGCTGTCCAACACAGTAGCCACTAGACACATGTGGCTAATAAGCACTTGAAATGTTGTTGCCCAAATTAAAATATGCTCTAAGTATAAAATACACACCAGACTCTGACAACTCTGTATAAAAAAACAAATGTAAACCATCTCAATAACTTTTTATATCAATTGTATGCTGAATTGTATTTTGGATATAATGGGTTAAATAAAATATATTATTAAAATTAATTTCATCTGTTTCTCTTTACTTTTTTATTGTGGCTATTGGAAAATTTAATTTGGTTCACATTATTTATTTATTTATTTTGATGAGGAAGATTGGCCCTGAGCTAACATCTGTGCCAGTCTTCCTCTATTTTGTATGTGGCATGCTGCCACAGCATGGCTTGATGATCAGTGTGTAGGTCTGCACCCGGGATCCAAACCCGTGAACCCCAGGCCACTGAAGCAGAGCACACAAACTTAACCACTAAGCCACCGGCCAGCCCCCACATTATTTATTTTTAATTGTTCAGCGCTGCTACAGAGATTAGAAGCATGGGACCATGGAGTCACAACACATGGGTGGGAAAATACATCATATTATTTATACTTAATGTGAAATAATAATAAAAACAAAAACAAAAATTAAAGACCCAGTCCTTTAAAAATGGAAAAAAAATAATTTTAGTAAATTCCTTTCTCAATTTATGAAGCTACTTACAAATTGAAGGAAAATTTACCTTGTAGAATTAAAATTGCAATTAATGTAGTTTTCATTTGATAAAGGTATTAAAATACACAGAATTCTATGGCAAATAGCCAAGTAAAATTTCTGCCATAATCTCAACCAAAATCACATTAATGCAAAATGTCAGATAATCAGTCAAAGAGAAAAAAAGGGCATTCTCTTTCCAGTTTATTATAAGATAACAGTCTGAAAGAAATAACTTGTTTTGTGTGTGTGATGAAGATCAGCCCTGAGCTAACATCTGATGCCAACCCTCCTCTTTTTTTTTTTTCCGAGGAAGACTGGCCCTGAGCTAACACCCGTGCCCATCTTCCTCTAATTTATATGGGACGCCACCACAGCATGGCTCGACAAGCAGTGCGATGGTACGCGCCCAGGATCTGAACCTGCGAACCCCGGGCCGCCACAGCAGAGTGCGTGCACTTAACCGCTTGCGCCACTGGGCCGGTCCCAGAAATAACTTTTTTTCCAAATGTCAATGGCATTACAATGGCTCCCTCAATAAATCCAAACACCATAGCCTAACATTTAAGGCAGATCTCTCTCCACATCTTTCCAGCTTTCATCATTTCTATTCCTATCCAAATTTTCCTACCTCTGGCAACTTTCCTTTTACTTTTTCATTAAAACTGGATATCCTTTCCTTGACTAATTTTTGCCTATCATCCTTCAAAGCCCAGCTCAAATGACTCCTCCCTCTTAAATTCTCTCCAAATTTCTTAACTGGCTGTGACCTCTCCTTTCTCACGACCCTTCAGTTCTTAGTTTACATCTTTTTCTTATGCCGTTTATTATAACTGCTGATGCAATTGCAAATGCATATGGCTTACTGCCCATTAGACTGTTAACTCACTCTTCAAATAGATGTCATTAAGCTTTGGAAAGATGCTCCAAATCACACATGATACTCAGCAGAGAACTTTACCACATATTCAATAAATACTTAAAGGCACTTCGGTGGGTCCTGTGTGCTAAGCTAAGATGCGTGAATTTTCATCTGGTTGGGTACTCTGAAGTCAAAAAATGTTTGATATCAGTAGTGGAGTTAGGAGAAACTAATATAATTTAATATAAACACACTGGTAATGCCATTATCAAAACAGAATGCAGGAGGAGAAAGACACAGTGAAAGGAAAGTAAACAAGTATTGTTTTGAATAGTATCTTAAGCGCTTACAAGACAGATTGAGTATGCAAGTATGAAGCTGGAAATGAGGACTTTAGGTCTCAGGAGGTTAAATCTAGAGATAGAGATTTGATATCTATTAGCTTCAAAAGGTGAAACCATGAAAATTAATGAGATTAATAAGGAATATAAATATATGAACAAAAGACAATCATGGACAGAAGTATATGGAACCCAATATTTAAAAGAAAAAAAAAGTGATCAAGAAAGAGAACAGCATGAAGGAAAAGAGGAAGAAGGGCAATAAGATGGGAGATTGAAAAAAAGAGAATGGTAATATAAAATTAAGAGTGGACAATTTTGAGACCTGAGGTAGTCAAAACTATCAAATGCTGACTGTGACAGAATCATGAATACTTGTGAATCTGGCAAACAGGAAGTCACAAGTGAACCAAGTAGACTGATATAAAAGCCAAGCTGAGGAATGATGTGCGTTAAGTAAGTAGAGAAAGTACACACAGAACATTTATTTCATAATTCAAAGCCAAGTTACCTGTGTGAAGTAGATGAAGGTATATTCAACATATCCCTTATTTTTTGCTTTTTTCTCACTTGGCGCTGCTTTATTGTCTTTGGTCTTTTGGGCTGAAGATTTGCTAGTTCCAATAGTTTGGTCATTCTACATTGAGGGAAGGCAAAGTAAAAAAAAAAAAATTTCTTTATGTAGAAGCATAGCTATTTACGACTGTTTTCTATTAAGCTTAAACATGCATTTGGGCTTATAAATTATAAAATGATTCGTATGGCATAAGTGTAATTTCTAAGCCATCAATTAAGATACAATTAATTTGACGAAAGCTCAAGTTCTAAATCTCCTTGCTCAACTTTCATCTTACTTTGAAGGAATTAGAAATTTATTTAATTGTGAGTTATCAATTTTTAAATATATGTTTTATTACAAAAATTATTATTTGCCCAAATAAAATGGCTGGATTTAATGCCAAAAAGTTGGGCAGGATACACTAACACAATCTATGTAACTTTATTGCTCTTTTCTTGATTGATATTCGAAAGACCTTACTAACACAGTAAAATTACTTTGTTTCACATTCTAATTATTAGAAAGCCTGGACTGAAGTATTTTTATTTAAAAAACATTTTGTGCATAACTGTTGCAAATCAATTATTATGTAAACAAGATAACTTACTTGACAACAAAGTTTTCAAGTACTATACTCTGAAGTAGCTTATAAGTAACAACCAAGGCGTAACAATTGATACCTTGTACATAGCTTATCTCCATTACAGAGATTCTCCTCTCCAGTATGAGTAATATTTAGAATAGATCTTGTCTAAGCATTTTTGTATCTTCCACAGGATCAGATACAGTGTTTCCACAGAGCAAGCTCAAAAACCACTAGTCACAGCTCTACCTCTCTCGAGTTACGTTTGTGAAACTTGAAAGCAAAACAAATAAACACAATAAAATGCAGGGAAGAAGGAGGAGGGTGTGTTTAAAATAAGTTTTAAACATTTTTTTCCCTAAGCGAGGAAAAATGAAAGCATATATTGTAAATTTTTAAAGCCTCTTAACCATGGCTTGCCAAAAACTATGAATAAATTCAGTTATACAAAACATATGTCTATATTCATAAATTGCTCACCCAAAGTATACTAAGCCTCTACAATAGTGCCAGGCATATATTAGGTAGGTGAACAATAAATATGCTGAATAAGTAAATAGTACTATGTTTGTTTGTTTTTTTAACTTTTCTAGAAGATAACAGAGAAGCATGAAACCAGAAACTGGTTCATGCAAAGGCTTTGTTCTCATGACTCAAGATGAATTATTTGCAGAATTTCTCACTACATCCCTAAATGGAAATCTAAATAAACAAAACAAACAAAAAAGGTATGGGCTAGTCTAAATAAAGCATTTCTTATTGCTATCATTATTTTTATTAAGAAAGTAAGATTTACAGGGGTTAAGTAATTAACCAATGCAACACTCTACACTGTTCTTTATTTAGCAGTAAGTTACAGTCTATCAAGAACTGCCAGCCTTTCTAAATGTCTCTGTTCAAGACAGATACTCTATCACTCCCATTTTGCAGTTTCAGCCCTGCCTACATTTTGATCTTAACTCTTTCCCTAGAAAGAGAATATATACTGAGCCACAACTTAAGTAGCCAGCCCTGGTGGCTGGCTCGTGGTGGTCTAGTGGTTAAGACTCAGCATTCTCACTGACATGGCCCAGGGGCCCGGGGTTCATTTCCCAGCCAGGGAACCACACCATCCGTCTGTCAACAGTCATACTGGGGGCACTGCATGTTGCTGTGATGCTGAAAGCTATGCTCCTGCTATTGCAAATACCAGCAAGGTCACCCATGGTGGACAGGTTTCAGTGTAGCTTCCAGACTACGATAGACTAAGAAGAAGGACGTAGTCATTCACTGCCAAAAAATCTGGCCAGGAAAAACCTATGAACAGCAGTGAAGCATTGGCTTATACAGCACGAGAAGGTTAGAGGATGGCACCAACAGACTGGACAGGGTTCTGCTCTGCTGTACACAGGGTTGCTAGGACTCAACAAGCACTAACAACAACAACAAATTACTTAAGTGGACATCGACTCAATAATGGTCAAACTGCTGCTGATTATTTGTATATGTTGTCCAGTCTGGGTTTTGGTTGACTCATGTCAACCACCCCTTCTGTATCTCACTTCTTCTGCGCATAGTACCTACGAATTCCCATCATTTGCCCATACGGGTCTCTTAGGTGAGGGGTTGGCAAATTATAGCCAAACGATCAAATCCAGCCAACTGCCTGTGTTGGTAAACAGAAAGTTTTGTTGGAACACAGCCACATCCATTCATTTAGGTACTATATATGGCTCCTTTCCCACTCCAACAGAACTCTTTGGCCCTATAGAGAAAATGTTTAGCAATTCCTGTTCTAGGCTATGCTGTGGATTATATACCTGAACATTATTAACAACTTACTGCTTTTTACCAGAATCTTTAAATAAAATATATGTAGATTGTCAAGAATAACTAATAAAAAGAATACTTTATCTGCAGTAGTTACTATGAATCATTTTGTATTACAGCCTACAGAATTGCTCTAGAAATTTTTCTGAGGTGAGCAAAGTCCAGGGGAAGAAGCTGACAAAATACGAATACAATCCACTTCTGTTCTCGTTATTTGAGATAGTTATGATCTATAAAGCCTCTACAAACACTAAATTAGAGAATGATGAATCATTGCCTGTAGGGGAAATTCAGGATTAGGTTCCTGGAAACTCACATTTCATCAACTGGTCAATACATACCTTGTTTATGTGTGTTTCTCTTTAAGGACACTTTATTTAATACACAGTCATGTGGTCCAAAATGATGTTTCGGTCAACGACAGACTGCACACACAATGGTGGTCCCATAAGATCAGTACTATGTAGCCTAGGTGTGTAGTATGGTATAGCCATGTCATCTAGGTTTGTTTAAGTACACTCTACGATGTTCACACAATGATGAGATCACCTAACGACGCATTTCTCAGAATGGATCCCTGTCGTTAAGTGATGCAAGACTATATACTGTTGATTCACTAACATCAAACTCACAGTCACTAGCACTATAACTCACGCCTGAACGCATTTTATCTAACACACGTGTTTTCTCCATAAAGCACATCACAGCCTTCCTGATCTTGGAAACCCTTCAACACTATGCTTGGGGTCCATTTTAAACAGCAAAATCATCAACAGCACAAAAATGTGAAAAACATGGTACCAAAAGGACCATAAAAAGGACACAGAACTGCTGAAACAAGAAGGCAGAACGTCACCTTGTTCTACCTCATCTAAGAATGTGCATATTGAGCAACTCTAATTTTTCACCATCTGCGCATGCCCACGTCCACAAAAGACCATAAAAGCACGGCAAGTATTGATTTTGGGGTTACAAACAAATTTTACCAAATAGGCAAACTCACAAACATAGAATCCACAAATAATGAGGATCAATTGTACTATATAATACCATAATCATTAACCTAAAAATTACTCATAACACAAAAATTTTTCCTTAGGTCTTGATAGCTTGTCTCAGATCTCAATCTATAGCTACTATATATGCTTAAGGGATTGGGGTGCTGGGGACAGACAAATTCTAATGACCCTAAATTATGAAGGATTATATGTAAAATTTTAGAAGAGCAAGAGAATCGCTTTCCCAATATTCTATGTTTCTTGGAATCTAAACAAGTATTATTTGACATTACAAACCTTTGCCGGTCTTCATCATCACTGCTTTCATATTCTGATTCTTTACTAGATAATTCCTCATCCTCATCTGGCAAAGGAGGTTCCTCTGGTGGCTGAGGAGATGCAGGTGGAAGAGGTGCATGTAATGGCATATAGTCTTCATACTAATTAAAAGAACAAAACAAAAATACTATAGCAATCTAAGATGTTTATAGAATAGAAAAACCATTTCCACTCAGACACATCACTCTTATCTCTCTCGATCTCATGACATTCTTTTACACATTTATCACATATTGAGGGAACATCTGCTGTGGCAGACTGCTAGCTGATCACAAAACTTGTTTCTTGGTCCTTTGCACCTAGCTGGACTAAATTTCCAAACCTCTCTTGTAGTTAGATCTCACCACGTAACTGAATTTTAGCCATCGGAATGTTAGCATAAAAAACTTGCACACACATAATCTTCTCTTCCTTCTTGATCTACAGGCTGCATGGTAATGCCCTCACCAACCTGAGAATGCACATACTGAAGATAACTCAGGTCTTTTCTATGACTCAGTAGAGCAGAACATCATTCTGCCCTAATTTTGGAATGGACTTGACATGAGCAAGAAATGATTTACATTGTTCTAAGTGACTAAGATTTCAGTTTTATTTGTTAACAGCAACTAGCATAGTCTTAACTCATATCCCTGCAATGTGCCAGGCATTGAGGTGTTGGGGTTACAAAGAAAAATTATGAAGCCAACAGTATACACATTAGAAAAGCAGCCAATACACAATAAAAAAGCAAATTTTCTATTTAAATCTTATCACTCAAAATAATTTCTCATTGCTATTGTCTAAAAACTACTATGAGTACTATAGCAAAATAATAACTAAAATTATTCAAGAGCAGACATAGCCTACTATCTAAATTGATAGATTTACATAGTAAATTCTAATTTAAAAAATTAGCAGGGCCAGCCCGGTGGCGCAAGCGGTTGGGTGCGCGCGCTCTGCTGCGGTGGCCCGGGGTTCGCCGGTTCAGATTCCGGATGTGCACCAGTGCACCGCTTAGCAAGCCATGCTGTGGAGGGGTCCCATGTAAAGCAGAGGAAGATGGGCATGGATGTTGGCCCAGGGCCAGTCTTAGCAAAAAAACAGGAGTATTGGTAGATGTTAGCTCAGGGCTGATCTTCCTCACACACACACAAAAAAAAAATTAGCAAATTTTCTTGTCTTCTGCAAATGAAGTTCTACATGCAATAAGACCAGAACAATGAAAATTTTAGAAAATGAAGTTTGTTAAATACAATTATGTTATGGGACGGCACAATGTTCTGGGTCAAAGGATTGAACAATAATGCTGGCAGAAATGACGGCTTCTACTACCCAAAGCATCTCTTTCATGTTTTGGCTTTCTTCCACTTTCAGCTCTCCACTTGACTATTATTATCACATTAACTTTACATTTGTTCCTTCTCTTCAATGCACATTAGAGGTCATTGGCACAACATTTGTAAAAGTTAGCTTCAATATTCCCACCTTAGGGAGAGAAATTTTGAATCTTAAAAAAAATCTAAGAGCTTTCTTACCATGGGAGGTCGTGCAGTAACTGGTCCAAAAGGTGTGGGCAAATTCATTTTATTCATAAGATGAAGCACCTTAAACATTTAAAATCACATAGTGAAATGATGAGTCAACTCATATTTTATGTAATTAAAACTGTGCGGGGCCAGCCTGGTGGCATAGCGGTTAAGTTCTCGTGCTCAGCTTTGGCGGCCCGGGGTTTGCACGTTCGGATCCCAGGCACGGACCTACGCCCCGCTTACTAAAGCCATGCTGTGGCGGCATCCCATATAAAGTAGAGGAAGATGAGCACAGATGTTAGCCCAGGGCCAATCTTCCTCAGCAAAAAGAGGATTGGCAACGATGTTAGCTCAGGGCTAATCTTCCTCAAAAAAAAAAAAAAAAAACTTTGCAATAACACTATTTAGTAATGCAGTGCAAAGAAAGGCCCACCTTTTGCCTTTATAATCCCAGGACAAGGCTAAAACAAGGCACTGGTATATCTCAGAAGATTAGCCTTCCTAAAATGTTTGTCAATTCTACAAATGCTATTATTCTCATTATTAAAAAGTCATGTTCTTGCCATGTAAAATCTACTGAAATGTTATGTCTTTTTCCCTGATTACTGTTAAAATTATAAAACACAGAGAAGTACAATAAAGGAAATAAACATCATCTATATTTTGTACTTTAAAGAAGTACCTTATTACTGTCAATATTTTCAGGCATTTGTTGAGGGTCCACTATGTTATTTCTTTTAAGAATCTCGACATTAAAGGTGTATGTTAAAGTAACAATCACCAGAAATTATAGTTCCCAAATTAGCTTATGTTTATTAGTAGTATTACTACTAAACATATGTTTCTGCTATAGTTTATAAAAGACTTTACTTGAATGTAGGAATATTTCATTGCCTTTTGATATGGACTGAATGTTTGCGTCCCTCCAAAATTCGTATGTTGAATCCTAACCTCACAATGTCATGGCATTAGGAGGTGAGGCCTTTGGGAAGTAATCAGGTCATAAGAGTAGAACCCAGAGAGCTCTCTCACCCTCTTTCAGCTTTGTGATGATACAAAGAGAAAACAACCATCTACAACCCAAAATAGGGCCCTCACAAGAACCCAACCACGCTGGCACCCTGATCTCCAACTTTCAGCCTCCAGAACTGTGAGAAATACTTTTCGGTTATTTATAAGCCACCTAGTCTATGGTACCTAGTTAGAGCAGCAGAACTGACTGAGACATCTTTAAAATATTATAGTATCATTGCCTGTCAGAATTAATCTGATTAATACTATAATGAAAAAGCAAAAGAATTAGCATGGAAAATAACTTATCAAGTTATACAATCATTTACTTTGAGGAAAGTAAGTTTTATTCTACTTACCTGTACATAGAACTTAGGCACACTTGCCAAAGCATTTACTATGTTTGCCAGGATTGTGCTTGAAGGAGGTGGGTACATATACTTGAGGCATGAATTTAGAGGAAAAGTCAGCCTAAAAAAAATATTTAAAATTCTTATCATGTTTTAATAAGCTTCATATCAATAACTTGTTTTAGGTAACTTGCTAACATACAAAATTGCTCAAATGATTCAGTACTCTTAGATTTACCTTGTTTCTAGTAGATCCAAATAAGCACATTTAAAAAGAAACTTGCCTTCTGATTGCACTAAAGAAAAATAAGATACTTCTTAGAGCTTATCTATAACCCTGAACATTTTAATGGAACCAAATTCAGTGACAAACTCTTAGAGCTCAAAATGTTTAATTAACACATTAAAAATATTCATAACATATCCTTTTTAAAAAAATTATCTTATTTGCAATATATATATACACTCAGAACAACAAAACCAAAAGAACAACAAAACACAAACAAAAAATGCTAACCCATGGTTTGGTGCAATCCCATTTTCTATGGTTAAACAACCAAGTTCTTTCTTTTCTTTGTCATCTTCCACAGGATCATCAGACCTAAGAAATAGAGAATCAAAGTTGATCTTATCTTTAGAAATAGAGTGAAAAACTGCATACAGAAAAGACATATTATCTTTTCAAACAGGGTATTATGAAAACAGTTCTATAATATGTAAAACATTCAAGTATTTCTCAAACACCAATGAAAAGGAAGGGAAATAGAATCAAGCTTCACTAAATACCTTCTCTATTCCAGATACTGTACAAGGCATGCCACATTTTCATTTACTCTTCACAGGAGCCTTGTGAAGATGGTATGATAAATCTCATTGACCCAAAAAAAACTGAAGTTTACATGGTATAAAATCATGCTACTCAAATTTCTTTAATGTGCATCAAAATCACCTAGAGGGTTTGTTAAAACTCAGACTGTCGGGGCCTTATCCTCCTCCCAACCCCAAATTTCTGATTCCGTAGAATGGGGTAAGAGCCAAGAATTTGTATTGCAGTCAAGATCCTAGATGATGCAGCTGGTCCAGGGACTACACTTTGTGAACCACTAATGCAAAGCAAATTTGTAAAGCTTATATAACGACAGAGAACTACAGCTGGGAACCAAATATCAGTGTTTGATTTCAAAGGCCATGCCTATTCATGACACCCTGCCATCTCTAATACAACAAAGACTTGATACTAATTACCTTCCCCCCACTTAAAGGTGAATGCTTTCCACCCTATCTCTTTCCACTTCACATTAATTCCTAATATTAAATCAACACTCAGGTTTCTATGCAGTTAGGAACAAAAATAAACATATTGTTTTAATGTACTAGATTCAATACACAGATGTATCATAAATTATTTACTTCCTAGTCTGACAACAATCCAATAGCAACACAACTGATTAAAAAAAACACTTTAAAATGTTAGGAAAACCTAACTATCTACATACCTTTTCTTTTTTTCAGTGCCTGAAGAGGGACATGGGGAATGAACTCGATCTTGTTCTTTTGCAAATTCAACAACTAACGTATGACCTAAAAGTTTCAGTTGATGGAGTCTTGTCAATGCCTTCAGTTGGAAGAACAAAAGAGTAAAAAACTTGATAATTGTACCAAAAATTATGTTAGAGATCATATACAGAATGATTTATATACATTCCTTGTTAATGCTGCTAACATTTCTTGGGCTATTTATTACACATTTCTAATCTCAGGCTGCCAAGCCCTTATTACTTATTAAGGGACTACTTTCACTTAGCAAAACTAAAATCTGGTTAAATTCAACTCTGCCTATACCCAGGCAGCTGAAAATGGTTAGAAAAACAAACATAATGAATTGGCCTGGTCTCATTTAAATGAAGTTAAAAGAGACATTTAAACTTCCTTCACCTCTTTCAAATTGTTGCTCAGTATGACCCTAACCACCTTAACTGCAACTTAACCCTCCCCACCCAACACTCTTGATTCTATTGCCCTTTTTCTTTTTTTCCATAGCATTTATCATTTTCTAAAATATTAAACAAATATTAAGTTTATTATTTATGGTCTGTCTCCCCTTTTGAGAATGTGAGCTCCAATGAGAGCATAAATCTTTGTTTTATTCACTGATGTATCCCAAGACCTAAAGAAGCACCGAGCACACAGTAGGCACTTAATATTTTTTGAACAAATGTAGGTCTTAACTGGGACTACAATTTTATTCTATGTCTTTATGCATCCTTGACTCCATTATACAAAGCAAGTTTTAAAATGTTTCAATAATTTTCAAGTCCCTAAATCAACTCTAGACCTCTTCACTATCACTGAACCTTTGATTATCTGAAATACAGGTCATCTAAGATGAATTACTTCAACTTTGTTCCTCTCAAAATTGTATCACACACATTCTCTTCTTTTCAAAGATTTATGACTTTTCATTTTTAATGTTAACTAATCCATCTCACTCAACTACTTAGTCTGAAACATTTCTCTCCCCTTTTTTTTTAAATCTATCAGTCAAGTGCACTCTAGCCTAAAAGTCCTATCACTGCTACTATCTTCTCATTCCTTCTCTTCAATACAAACAATTCTTAAAGACAATGACCAGCTCCATGTCCTCTCTTCCAAGTTATTCTCGACCCTAAAACAATGTGGTTTTCATTAACATATTTTATTTATAACTTCTTATGCTATATTAAAAAAAAACCTTTTCTGAAAAGAATATTTCCTTTCCATTAAAAAAAATACATATAATGTGAAAGACTTCTGTAATCCCACTCTCAGATAAAGACATTTATTAACAATTTGGTGTATAGCTCTGCTACATTTTTTTCTCTGCATAAACTAACATATACACCATTAGTTTTCCAAAAATCCAAGGTTACATCATACATAATGTTTTGCAACTTTATTCATGTACTCTATCTGGGCTACATTCTTTATTAATACATATTCATATTCATTTGACCTTAATTCTCCAACAGTTGTAGTCCAAGATATGGATATACTACAATTTAAGGTGTCCCTTCTCCTTATTGATGAGAATTCAGGTCATTTCTATAGTTTACAATAAAAAGTCCTTTACTAATAGACTGTGATCATTCCTCATTTTGTGTCATCACAGGATCGCATCTTGAAACTCTTTTCTTTGCATCCATGATCACTTCTTTTCTAGTTCTACTTCCTTTTTAATTTCTTCCTCGGTCTTCTTTGCTGGCCTATCTTCCTTTGGGCAACCATATCCATTCACTTGATTGAAGAAACTCCGTTTTTGACCTTACCTCACCTCTAAACCCATATTTTTAACTGTTTTTAAAATATTTCCACAGAAATAGCCCACTGACTCCTCAAGTTAAGAGAGGACATTTGAATTCACTATCTACCTTGCAAACATCCTCTGAATCCTGTCTCTGCAAGCTACCATAAAAACTCAGTCCAAAAATCTCAAAGTATTCCCTCTCTCAACTTCTACATCTATAGGGATCACAAGACCTACAAACTCAGTCTCTACCAAGTATATATCTACTTCTTCCTTTGTCTTCTTACTGCCTTATTCAGATCCTTTCTCTTGCCTTGGTCATTATAACATTTCTCTTGTCTTGGCTTTCCATTTGGTCTTCCTACCTCTAATCTTTTCCCACATCCAATCCATTACATGATCTCTACCAGATATCTTTCACAGATCTGACCATATCATTGGCCAGCTCAAACATATCAAGTGCCTTTAGAATACCTACTAAACAAAATTCCATCCCTCCTTCCCACCCAAATTTAGACTCAACCTATTTTCCAAGTCCTACTTCCATTTCAACCCTCCGCTCTTGCTCCACTTACAACTTTCCATGCCCCATAGCTTTACTCAGTGTTCTCCAAACCTAGACAGTCCATCTCCCTTTGTTTTCTTCTCAAAATCCAACTAATCACTAAAGGTCCACATGAAAGGTCACCTCCTTTGCTAATGATGCCCTAAGATTTTTTAAATATATATATTCTCCCTTTAATATTTAAAACATCATGCCTTGCAACAGTTACAGAGGTAGTTATCAATCTTTGCATCCTTTAGAACTTGTTATTTTTAATTACATATGAGATTACAATTCAATTTTAATTCGCTTTCTAGTTAATCTACTATTTTTATGTTTAAATATCTAAACACTGGGCAAGATCTGCCAACTGAAAAAACAAATGTAGCCTGTGGGGCAAATTCTTGAAAAACAAATGCTTTCACTTTTAAAAACTATAGTTTAACATTAAATTTCATTTTCAAATCAAGATTGATAATAGAAAATTGCTGATAATTTTAATAGTAAAGAAAAAGTCATACCTTTACAGCTGCTTTTTCATTAGGGAAAGTAGCAAAAGCTGTATGTTTCTGAAAAAGAATTAAGGCACAAATTATTTCTAATATAATTTCAGTTTCTCATAAAAAAGTCCGATATTTTACCAGTTGACAATGATTTGACACATTAATAAAATCATGGAAAATGCAGATCATTTAACTGATTACTAATTTCAGTACAGCAGTTTTGAATCTTTTTTGAATCAGACTTCTTTGAGATGAAAGCTATGTAGCCTTTTTCATATAAAGGTGTGCACACAGACACGGAATATTTTACATATACTTTCAAATAGTTCAAGAGACCAGAAGTTAAAAAACGCCTACTAAACAGAAGATCACCCTTAAACTATCCAAAAATATAAAATATCTCCCCTTTATAACACATCTAATGATCTAAACTTTCCTCTATACAGCCAACTGCAAAGTTTAAAAAAGTTCAACAACATAAAATCATTCCTTAAGTGTACGTTTCCTTTGTGTTTTATCTTTTTAATAAGGTTCAACAGAAGCCATTTTTAAAAATAAACTCTAAATATTTTTTAAACGATCAGAAAAGGAACATAAGTCAAAAGTACACGAATCATTATGCTAAGGAAGAGTTCTTGTCAATTCTTATCAAAGCATTTACAAGTTGCTTGAGTAACTATATCACACACTCTAATTTTGTCTTATCTGACCCAAGATGACCTAATTAAGTGTACTTAAACTGAACCACAGAGAATATTTGTATTTGCTGGTATACATGACACTTTTATCAAAATTGGTCTTTCTTCTAACTCAGTAATTCTCAACCCTGGCTGCATATGAGAAGCACCCGGGGAGACTTTAAAACCATTGATGTTTTGCCCTATCACAGACCATCTCTCCATTTTAATGGAGAGAAATCCATTTAAAACATTTTCAGGTATACATATTCTCTTTTATACCTGAAGATGTTTTAATTACATTCCTGTAATATTGTTCCCTAAAAGATTCTGTAGGGAAATTTTTACGAAGAACTTCGTCAAAAATCTAGTAGAAATCCTGTAACTAGTTTAAGTTACTGGCTATCGTAATTTCTCCTCTGTTTTGATAAATATCTTCACACTGGCTTATAAATGAACAAAGATTTTTAAAAAGCCCTTTGTTCCATATTTCTGACAGTATTCTGAGTCTAAGAGAAATACTCCCAAATGCAGAGGAGTTTTGAGATTCTCAGGATGGGTAGCAAAAGGGAATATAACTACGCTATTTTCCATTCTTCCGCCTTGCCTTTCTCACTTGCCCTTTTCCGCAGCGCTGTGACTAATCTAGGCTCGAGCCAGTTAAAACTTGACTTGGCACGCAAAATATGATGATGTAAAAGAGGAAAGATGAGAAGCCCCCACTACACAAGCGCGTCTTCCCTACTCTTTTCTGTCTTCTTTCTTCCGTCAGAGCTCCCCCTGCCCGGGTCACCAGCCAAGGGCCGCCCCGGGAGGCTCAGGACTGGGCGCGCCTTACCAGTCGCCCCTTATCGGACAGGACGCGCACCGACTGTGCCCCAAAATACTTCAGCAAGTCCTCTTTCTCCTCCGCGGTCAGCTCGGCTGGCAGGTGCCTCACTAGAAGGGTTCGGTCGCCCCGCGGCGGAGAAAGAGAAGCGGAGCTCTGGCATCCTCTCGACATGGGCGGCAGCGGCTGCTCAGGGGCCGCCATTTCCCTCAGAGAAACAGCAACACTAAAGCCAAAAAAACAGCCGCAGTAAAAGCTGTGCTACTCAACCGAGGCTGAGATAAATCAGTATTTTTTCCGCGCTAAGGATTCTGGTAACAAGGAAATACCGCGAAAAGTGGTCGCATTCTCGCGATACCTGCGCCACGCAGGCGTGATAACTATACAGAGACCTGTCCCTCAGACTGAAGCGCGAGCTTTTACAGTGATCGGAAAGCAAGGTGATTTAAATTCCAGGTAGCTGCTGAAGGCATTAAAAGCAAAAATTCGTCCGAGAGAGGCGTAAGGATTTAAGAAGTTGTTAAAGAGGGAAGAGGCACCTCAGCCCCGTGAGGGAACGAGGCTGTAAACCCAAGGACGGGAGGAGTTACTGCGCGCATGTGCGGGACGGGTTGCCGCCCGCGCGGTCTGGGGCTGTACTAGCTGGCCCCGGATCCTGACGTTTGGGGAAGTACGTTTGACTGACGGGAGGGGTGAGGGACTCGGTGTGGGAGTGAGAGTTTACAGTTTTAGGATGGTAACGCGTAAAAATAGCGAGTTCTTTCTTCAGCTCAATTAGCGTCCACCTAGGGAGGAAAACTCAGTTTAAGGAACAAAAAGTTGAGAGACAGAAAAGTGTTTTGTTTTCTTGAATCATCGTGCATGTAGCAGCGTGATAGGCTCCGGCCAGGGTTCATTTCACAGAATTGGGAGACTCTAGAGAGAGGATATGTATGTATACACGCGCACACAGTAGTGCCCTGGTATTTTACGATTGTTTTGCTTTCTGCGATTTCTGTCACCCACAGTCCAAATAGTAAATGGAAAATTCTGGAAATATACAATTCGTAAGTTTTGAATTGGGTGCCATTCTGAATAGCATGATGAAGTCTCCCGCCATCATGCCTGGGAGATGAATCATCCTTTTGTCCAGAGCATCCACGCTGTGTATGCTACCCATACGTCTTGGTTGTCACAGACTATGTGATCACAGTGCTTGTGTTCAAGTAACTCTTATTTTACTTAACAATGGCCCCCAAAGTGCAAGAGTTGTGATGTTGGCAATTTGGATATGCCAAAGAGAAGTCCTCAGGTACTTCATTTGAGTGAAAAGGTGAACGTTCTTAATAAGGAAAGAAAAAAAATCATGTGCTGAGGTTAAGATCTATGATAACTTTTATTACAGTATGTTGTTATAATTGTTCTATTTTATTATGTTATTGTTAATCTCTTACTGTGCCTAACATAAATTAAACCTTATCATAGGTACGTATGTAAAGGAAAAAACATAATATAAATAGGGTTTGGTACTAGCTGACGTCTCAGGCATCCACTGGGGGTCTTGGAATGTAACCCCGGTGAATAAGAGAGGACTACTGTATCTTCACATATTTAATCGTCACAACAACCCTAAGGGGTAGGGTTTTTTTACTCATTTTACTGTTGAGGACACTGATATACAAAGAAGTTTAAGTTACACAGCTAGTAAATGGCAGAACTGGGATTTGACCCTATTAGTGTGACTGGGCTTTACACTCTGATCCACTGTTCTGCCTGGTTTCTGAACTGAGTAAGGCAGAAATGTCTCCTTCACTCTATAGATTGAGGGCCTTGAGGATTCTAGAGAGAAGTATTATACTAGGTGCAGTCTGGAGGCCAAAGGTGCTTCTTACTGCTCCTTTTATTTGCTACTTGATTAGATGTTAAAGATATAGCATTAAACAATACATCCAAGTTCTGCTCCTATGGAGCATTGGTTGGGTAGCAAGTGAGGCACAGATATTAATAAAAACTAGAAAAGACTTAGGGAAAAATCCCGCAAAATATTAGGTATGTAAAGACCCATGAGAGACCTACAGGTTTTTGGGGGGAGTCTTGATTTTCTGAAGAACTGTTGGAAACTGGACAGATATTTTTAGTAGGGATGTGTGTGTGTATGTATATGTATGTATAATGATTAAATTTTAGATATGAAAATTTCTCTAGTTGCAGTGTGAAAAAGAGAATAGAAGCAGGAAGCCCAGCTGGGTTACTGCAGTAGCCTAGGCAAAAGACACGGCTCAAAATAGTTCGGTAATAGTAGATATGGAGAGAAGGAACTGGAATTGAGATATATTTTGGAAGTAGAATTGATAGGCTTGCAGATGAAGAAGAGTAATTAAGGATAAATTCTGGGGTTTTGGCTTGAGCCTCAAATTATCCACCATCTAGGTGGATGATGATGCCATTTAATGAGCATGAGGAGAGTGACAAAAGTGTAGCTAGGTTAGGGACTGTGATGGAGGGTGGGGGAGGGAGGAACACATTGAATTTAAGGTACCTATTCAGTATCCATGTTTCAAGTAGGCAGTTGGTTGTGTAAATATGGCATTCTGGAGAAACGTCAACACTGGATACATATATGGCATCAACACATATAATAATTATATTGAAGGGTAGGTAGAGAGAAGGGGGCCTGGTATTGATCCATGGGGCATGCAATGTTGAGAAGTTGAGGAGTGGAGGAAGAATACGGTAATTAATTGTTTCTCTCTTGGCACTTACATTGTAGTAGCAAAGACAGACTAAAGCATGTAGATAAGTGAATAAATAAGTTCCTTCTGAAGAGCAATAAGTGCTTCGGGAAAAATATAGAGGAAAGGTAGAAAGATAAACTGATTGGAGAGGGCAGCCACTTTAAACACTATCCTTTGCAGGCTTTTTCCTCTGTCTCTTATGATCAGCAAAATGATTGGCACATCATAGATATTATATAAATATCTGTTCAATGAACGAATGCATGAATGGGTTAACTTTAGTATTTACCACTGCTTCCTATGGTCAAGAATTGCTACATGGGCCAACAAGGTAAGTTTAATGGTCATCATCTACAACAATTGAGATATCACAACTCAGTGGAATAGTAACCTGACAGAATTTTATTTTCTCTCCACTTAATTGCTTTTGCTTATACTCAATTAAACCTGCCTTATCCTTTCCTTGACAATAGCTTAGGTGGATTTCATAATTTCTTGGTCACTTTCAGTTGTTAACAGTCCAAGTTGGTTTGAACTGTCAACCTCAAACTCCATTAAGATCTCACTTCTTACCCTGCCCTCATATTAGGCTTTATCTGATGGATAGGAGGAAGATAAAATTTGCTTTCATCTCTTGTGTGTTTGAGTGGAGGTGGGTGTGGGCTGCTCTGAGTTGCACCTCTCTCATTTTCTTTTCTTGGTATAGCCCAGAGGTTGCCGAACTTTCTCAGCCCATGCTGCCCTTATTATCTCAATAATTTTTTCACAGCATCCCTAGATGCCACCTCATTTCCTGTTCCACTCCGATTTTCAAGAGGCACTTGTTCTTTATCAGAGCAACAGCCCAAACAGCCCAAAACCCAGCTTTGACATTCTTAAGAGGAATTTAACAGGATCTAATTTTGAAATTGAGAAATATCTAAAAGCTGGTAGTTCATGTAGTGTCTGGCAGATAGCTAGTATTGCCCTATTTCCCTTAAATATTTAAAATATTCCATAGCACCCCTCTGAGGTGGCCAAAGCACCTGTGACATCTCAGCACACAGTTTGGCTCTGATTTTCTTTGTTGGGGGATGGGAGGAGGGAAAGTTAGTGGAGGTTGGGAGTATCTTACTTCATTGACCAATTGTTGGTGTTCTTTATCTCACTCTGATTCTCTCTGATTATATCTGTTGATGGAGGCCTCTGCTAGGTGGTTTTCTGGGGTTCATCTTCATCAGACCCCTTCTATCACCATCTCAGAAAACAGTAGCTATTTTTTTTATTTGGCCTTTCCTTTGGTTTGTGGCCCCAGTTTTCCTCACTTGGCCACATGTCTGTTTGGCCCTCCCTATTACACCTTCCTTTCTGTCTCCAAACTCCCTATTTTTTCACATGAAGCCGGGAGAACAGCTGGGCCCTATTTCTCGAGGGCCTCAGATAACTAAAATGGAGAAAAATGTTTATTGCATTTTTTTCCTAACTTTTTTTTCAATTAAGGTATAATTGATATATAACATTATATTAATTTCAAGTGTACAAAATAATGATTTGATATTTGTGTACATTGTGAAATGATCACCACAATAAGTCTAGTTAACATCCATCACCTTACATAGTTACAAAAAATTTTCTTTCTTGTGATGAGAACTTTTAAGATTTACTCTCTTAAGAACTTTCAAATATGCCACACAGTATTACTAACTATAGTCACCATGCTGGACATTATATCCTCGGGACTTATTTATTTTATAACTAGAAGTTTTAACTAGAAGAACTTTTGAGCCTCGTCACCCATTTTTCCCACTCCCCACCGCCTGCCTCTGGCAACCACCAATCTGTTCTCTGTATCTATGAGCTTGGTTTTTTGCTTGTTTTGTTTGTTTTTGATTCCACATGTAAGTAAGATCATACTGTATTTGTCTTTCTCTGTCTGACTTATTTCACTTAGCTTAATGCGCTTAAGGTCTATCTATGTTGTCACAAATGCCAAGATTTCATTCTTTTTTATGACTGAATAATATTCCATTGTGTGTATATATATATATACACATATACCACATTTTCTTTATCCTTTCATCAATCAATGGACACTTAGGTTGTTTTCATGTTTGGGCTATTGTAAATAATGCTGCAATGAACATGAGAGTACATATATGTTTTTGAGTTAGTGTTTTCGTTTTCTTCGGATAAATACCCAGAAGTGGAATTACTGGATCATATGGTAGTTCTATTTTTAATTTTTTGTGGAACCTCCATACTGCTTTCCATAGTGGCTGCACCAAGTTACATTCCCACCAACAGTGCACAAGGGTTCCCTTCTCTCCACATCTTTGCCAACACTTGTTATTGCTTGTCTTTTTAATAGCCATTCTAACAGGTGTGAGGTGATATCCCATTGTGGTTTTGATTCACATTTCCCTAATGCTTAGTGATGTTGAGCATCTTTTCATGTACCTGTTAACCATCTGTATATCTTCTTTGGAAAAATGTCTATTCAGATCTTCTGCCCAATTTTTAATTGAATTGTTTGTTTTTTTGCTGTTGAGTTGTATG